GCAGTGTCTGTCTGAATTTTCAGGAGAATATGTGCATTTCATATGTAGGACTCCTGCATTCTCTATATATGATTGTTATCCCGATACAGGACTTAGGGATCTTTTTCAATCAGGATCTGATATTTCTTAGTAAATAGTGGAAAGAAATTGTTTGGGGCTTTATCTTGAAAAATGAAGTGGAAAATAGTAGTTTATTTTTTAACTTAACAAGTTAAATTATAATTGCAGCTAGGTATTGATTTCTGGCCATAGAGTGAATCCCATGTGGGCAGTGTTGGGATATTTTCAGCAGAATTGTATGGGAGTACGGATGTAGCATCTTTCTCTTATGTTTGACTTCAGCAACAGGATTATCAAAAGTAATTTTTCCAAAATATTAGAGGACTCCCTTACTTTTTCCAAAGTTCCATCTTAATTCTTTGATCATTCTCTGTGGTTCATCTCTCTTGTGGACTTCTTCTTTAATCTTTCACTAGATTGTTTGCCATTGGCTTTGAGTGGAATCCTATTCCTGACTAATACGGCTTTTATGGGCTCCATTATATTTTGCATCAGCTGCTGATTTGCACTTCTAGTTTGCAACTTACTTAAAATGTCTAGTCACAATTGTTATTCCAACAGTTAGCAAGGGGTTGCCATAAGGAGTAAATAAAATACATAAACATGATAGCATAGTGAATACTTAATTATGAGAAAACCCTCTTCTTCGATATCCTCAGATGTGGCATATTTGTTTGCATGTCATGCCTTTGCCTAGAATATTCCATCCTTTGAGACAGGTCAGTTCACAGATGAGTATTTTCATGTTATGGCTACTTGTACTTCCCTATAAAACATTCTGCTGAGCTCGTAAGTTGGAGCCCTTGGGAAAAGAGAACCATAGGGTATAAATGGTTGGAGCCCTGGGGTGGCAGGCATTTCCAGAAGCTGATACTGTCATCAGGGGTGAGCTGACAGACCCCAATAGTACAATATTTAGGCCCCAATCATGCAATATTTAGACATCGCTGAGGTTGAATTCGTAGGACCAGTAGTTGGGCACCTGAAAATGTAAACTGGAATAAAGAACTCAGGAGAGAAAGCACTGAGGGTGGAGTTGGGAAGGTGGCAGAGATAGCGAGGTAGGTTTTCAGTCCTCTGAGATGTGATTTTGGTGGCCTCTTTACCCTCCACGTGGAAATAAACAACCCACGCCAACGGATTGCACCCAGTGGCTCTGTCGAAAAATTCCTTTTGGTTTTTAAGTCTTCGATCCATGTTCAGAAGTCAGCACCCTTGACAGGGCTGCCATTTGGAGCTAATAGTCCCCACAGTGTCAGTGGAAGATTTGATTGGGGTGTCTTAGAGGAGAACGGGAGGTGTGACCGCAGAGGAGGGAGAGAGCGCCTGGCACGACGTATGGCCCAGGGTGCAGGGCCTGACAGCCTCGAGGGGACCCGGACCAGCGGGTGTGTTTGAGGCTTACATAGTTCAGATTTCTGCATGCCTGCGGACACACTCTTGACATGCCTCTCCTGGCATGTGGCTCCTTCACACCATAAGCCTCCTGTCTGGTCACGGCCGCTTCCTCCTCACCAGGGCTGCAAAGGGCCAGGCTTGGGCATCTCCTACTTCTGCTGTTCTCGGTTCCCGTCCCTGAGCCTCCCACATCCCACCGGCCCTCCCAGGCCACCTCTTCTCTCTAGCTACCCATGACCATCCCTCCATTCTTTCCACCATACCCCTTAGTCTTTGCGTTGTGGATGTTCAGCATTTAAGGGCATTTAGCTTTGCCTGAATCTCGTTGACTTTAGGTTTTTTCTCTCATGCATGTATTACATGCATTCTAACTAACTTAGCATTTCTCTAAATGTGTCCCCATGAAGTAGCACGATCGTAGTATACACAAATAGGCTTATAATCAAAGGGTTGGAAATCCTGGTGTTTGCAAAGGTTGAAAACCCTTAGGCTTCTGCAGAGCTTTAATTTCCGAAAGCAAATCCTGAATCCCTTATGGAGTGTTCTTCAGTGTTAGTCACTTGTACAAGAACCTGTTTTTAATCTCTCAGGGTCAGTATCCTGCAAGACATGGTTTCCAGAAGGGCTGCTGTAATTGGTTTAGGCTCTGGAAGGGTGGCAACCCCATTGTCCTCCCCTGTGGATCCCCACGTTAGCTGAGTGCAGTCATATCTGAGTAGACTCTTGGGACATTTTTAAAAAACTTTTTTATTGTTGGAGAAATTTCTATAAAATGCACCATTTAAATCATTTTAAGGTATACAGTTCAGAGGAATTTAGTATATTCACAATGTGCATCCCTCACCGTCCTCTGATACCAGAACATTTTCGTTACCCCAAAAGGAAACCCTGGACCCAATAAGCATTCACTCCCCAGCAACCACAAATCTGCTTTCTGTTCCTATGAATTTGCCTATTCTGGACAATCTCCTATCAGTGGAACCGTAGAAACCAGGTCTTAGACCTGCACCATACCTCAGCTCCCCCAGTGTAGCTCTCTTTCATGGGCCAAACCTCATTCATGTGTAAGTAACAAAAAGCAACTCTCCACCTGGAAACCTTCAAGTCATGTGGCTGGGTTAAAAATACCCATGGAATACTGCAGAAAAGGGTCAGCAGTGTGTTTGCCATTGCCATGATTGGGCCTGGGATTTCGGGAAGCCGACTTGAGCCGGGCAGGGAGCCCCTTCCTGGTGGTGGAGGCGACGGGCTGCTGGTACAATTGGCTTATCACTCTCACCCATTTCCTCTCCAGTCAGAGGTCTGCATTTCAGGCTGCTCATCATTTAATAAACTATCAAACATGTGAGAGTGGCCTGGGTTCTTCAGGGCGGAATCTTCATTTGTCCTTTGGGCACAGTCATCAAGCCTGAGGACTCAGGCAAAAATTGGATATCCTGGGGCTCTCTGTCTCATGCATTGGAATTCACAGGGATAGATTATTCCTCACCCACTAGAGAGAGCTGCCGGCCACCTCCTTGTAGCACCCTGCGCCCACCTGCCTCATGGGCTTGTGCAACCCCCTCCTGTCGGTCCTTTGAATTGCCAAGATTGTCTCGTCTCTGGGCTGCACCCTTCACTCCTCCACTCTTGATGCCTCTCGAGGCTGGGCACACCACTGTGCACTCTTCTGCCCAAGAACCTGTGGTAATTGTCTTGGTGTTGAAACACCTTTCTAGTTTTAGCCTGTCTCTCTCCTTCTCGATGTAGACTGTGGTCCTTCATACTTACCAGACTGGTCTTGCTCCTCTGCCCGCCGCGCCCCCCCGCCGCTCCTCTAGCTTCTCCTCCCCCGGCTTGGAACCACTGCCTGCTCTCTCTCCTTTTTCCTTGACCAATGTGACTCTTCCTTGAAGCTCAGCTCACAGCTCAGCACTCGCACAGGGCTTCCCTGAACATTCTAGCCACTCTTGCTGCCCACACTACATTTGTGTCGCAACTCTAGTACCACAGAATTTAGAGCTGGCAACGTTTTTTCTTAAAGATTTAATCACTTGGTCTTTCCCTCCCAGTCAGATGACTAGCTCTTGGAGGAAGGGACAATGGTAAAGTTAAGCAAGTGGAGTGGGAAGGCGCCAGTCTGTGAATCCGGGGGCCAGGTCACCTGTGGGGGCGGCCATTCGCTGGCTCTGTTGTCCTGGAAAAGCTGCTTCTCTTGAACTTCTGTTCTCATCTATAAAATGAGTAGGGGACAAAGAGTGTTTTAGTTTCCTATTTGCTGCTCTAAGAAATTACCATAAACTTAGTGGCTTAAAGCGGCACAAATTTATTCTCTTAGCATTCTGGAGGTCAGAAGTCGAAAATGGATCTGTAGGTGACATTCCTCCTGGAGGCTCTAGGGAGAGTCTGTTTCTTGTCTTTTCCAGCTTTTGGAGGCCAGCCTTGGAGGATAGCATTCTGTCAACCACAGCGGGTTCTTAGGTCTCTTGTGTCTCTACACATTTCTTCCAGTATGTAGAGTTTAGCACTGTGCTAGACTCGTTAATTTCTTGACCCGTTAGTTTATCTATGAGGATTTCCTCTTCTCAGATTGTTACTGGGGATTCCAGGGCCCGATAAGACTCAATGATAGAGCTGTGAGCGCAGACTTTAGGATCGTTCTTACACTTCCGCCGACTGCACTTTCACTAGCAAAAATTTGATGATGCTCTTCTTCCTATTTTTGATTTCCTGCTTTGCCCATTTTGAAAAAGTCCTCAAAGAATTTTACCTGTTCCCCAGTAGCCAGGGGTGGCCTTTTAAACGGCTTGTTAATTATACTGGTGATTCTGCTGTATGTCTGTTGGTCTTTCCATAAATTCCTGAATGTGTTTCCAGGTCCTCTTGGATAACTTGCCATAGATGTGTCTTTAAGGATTAGAAGCCAAATAGCCTAGGATAACTAACCTAGCTAATTTCATCTGTAATTACTACTAAATATCATGGTATTTCACAGGAATTCAGATAGGCACTTATATGGGAGTTATGTGATTTTTCTTGCCCTTCATCCCATCGGCTGGTGTCCGCTTTGGGTGACCACCACTTAGAAAGCAGTGAGAAAGCGGGGTGCCCAGCCGGCTCAGAGGAGCATGCGTCTCTTGATCTCGGGGTCATGGGTTTGTGCCCCACATTCGATATAGAGATTACTTAAATAAGTAAATAAACTTAAAAAAAAAAAAGGCAGTGAGAAAACATCTGTAAAATCCACCCCCCCATTTAATTTTAAGTTTTTTTTTTTTAAGCTTTTATTTATTTGACAGAGAGAGAGCACAAGGGAGGGGTGGCAGAGGGAGAGGGAGAAGCAGGCTTTCTGCTGAGCAAGGAGCCCGCTGAGGGACTTGATCCCAGGACCCTGGGATCATGACCTGAGCCGAAGGCAGCCGCTTAACTGACGGAGCCACCCGGGCGTCCCTAATTTTAAGTTTTGAGATGACTTTTCACTATTGAGTCTGAGACACTTATAGTGTGGGTCAAGCACACCTGTGGCCTATATATTGAAGCTTTCTTCCTGCTTTGTCTCCTAGATGCACCCACTGGGCTTGTGTAATAACAACGATGAAGAGGACTTGTATGAATACGGCTGGGTAGGTGTGGTGAAGCTGGAACAGCCAGAGTTGGACCCGAAACCATGCCTCACTGTCCTGGGCAAGGTAAGCAAGCGCCAGGAGGTCTGGGACCGTTCTCAGTAATTAAACACACTCCTATTTGTGTAGCAGACTATATGGATATTCACATTAAGTGGGATAACTAAAATCTAAACAGCCTCATGTTAGTTCAGGGTAGCTTTGCCTCTCAACGAGCTCAGGTCCATTAAGTTTTGCTGCCAAGTAAGTTATGGAAAAACTTCTGGGTTTTAGAGCTTTTTTGGTTTCAGAATGGCAGACAGCAATTATGGTCCTATATTAGAACTTACCTCACAGGATGGTTAGGAGGTGGGATGAGATGCGAACAGCCAGCAGAGTAAGCTCTCAAAAAATGTTTGCTGCCATTGGCTGCTGTCATCCCATTTGGACTAAAAAAGACTTGTGAGCCAAGAGGGGTCAGCATTATCTCTGGCTGCAGTGTTAAGATAGAAAGAAATTTATTTTGGGAAACTATCCATCAATGATCTTAAAATAGGACAGATGGCAATCTGTTTTAAACTGGATCATTTTGTTAAAGAGAAAGGTTTGGAGAAAGTTATGAGAATTTTAGTTGGAGAAAAGGTGGTATCTCTTAAGGATAGTGTTATTGCCTGGATTATTTATTTATTTTTAATAATCTCAGAAGCTGCTGCCTAGGTACCATGGGCGGACAGCTGGGGAAAAAAACAGTCCTGGTTCCTGACCTCTTGGGGATCCAGGCAAGAGAAGAGGTGGTTTTGATGCAGGGTGCTTGACGGGGAAGCTTTCTCAGACTTGAAGACGTCCCAACCAGTCTCCTGAAAGACTGGGTCCAGGAGACTGTTAAGGGTCTAATGTGTGATTTTCATGTCCCACTTGTCTTCTGAAGCTTCTGAGCGCTTGTCAGGTTCTCCTGCTCTTTTATAGCGGCGGGGGGGGGGGAAACCAACCCAGGAATTATTACCTGTTTGGTTTACAGTTCATGAAGTCAAATCAAGGTGTTTTAGGTGGCCCAGACCCTGATACTTCATCGTTTAAATCATTGGCCAGAGCTGCTTGATGATGCTAGGAGAGCAGCGATCCCTTTGAGAATACTTCAGTGTTTTCCTAGGAGGAATGCCAGCTACGTCCAAAGGTTAGGAACACTGCTTTCCTTGCAGGTAGTACGCTCCTCATATAATATTTTCTCCTGTACTTCAGCTGCTGCTCTGCAGGGCTCCGCAACTTGGCCTAATTTGCTTTGCCCGCATCCAGTGGAGTTCCACTGTTGCATCTGTTATGTCTATAAGTGGGTTGGAACAGGGCTCCCAGGGACACCCAGTTGTTTCTTCCTCCACCTGGAACAACCATGTAGTGGTTTTACTTGAAGAGTTTTGTATGGTTTGGCCTGCTAGCTTGCAAAGCCAGGGGGAATAAAAACCCTAGACATATATTGAATCATTAAGTACTTCTTGGGTTTATTCATTCACCAAATATTTATCAAATGCAGAAGCTAAGCATGTGGTTCTACCTGCTTGCAGGCAACAGCCCATTCCCCCCACCACGTTTCTGTTTGGAAAGGCTCTGTGGTGTCCAGGCGGTATTTACACGTGGTTAGTTACTGAAATTTGGCTTAACACCTGAATAAAATCATTAGCAAAACTCTTGGGCCAGACAAAGCAAGACAGTTCCACATTTGTTTAGAGCCTGGGTCTGTACAGGAGGTGTGATGACTCATGCATCTCTCTCTCTCTCCCCCCTTCCTTTTTTTCTTTCTCCCTTCCTTCCTTCCTCTTTCTTTTCCTTTCTGATTTTAAAGTGTAATTGTTCTCAGCTTTGATTTTATTAGCTTTGCCAACTGCGCTTTTCTTTTTTTTAGCCCCTAGCAAGAGACTAGGATAAAGAAACGCAAAGTGAGCCTTGTGGGCAGCCCTAACTCCTGCAGATAGCATGCTTTTCTCTCATTTCTTTGCTCTCGGTGGCTATGGCAAGAAGACGATGGGCAGTGGAGAGAAGCACAAAGGCAAGAAACTGCAGCCAAGTCAATGTGGGAGTGGGAGGAGGGACTCCTCCATATAGATGTTGAGACTTGCTGAAAACCATCGAAGGGAGGACTCTGTCAGGCATTCAGAAAAGCCTGTGGGGGAAGGGGGGGGGTAGGGCCAGACACAGACCCCCTCTCCCTCCTCCGCCCTCTACCCCCCCATCACCTACCCGCCCACAGAAAATGCCATGGGGCGAAATGTTGAAATAAGAGAGGAATGTCCTAAATTAAAAAAACTGTAAATGCCTCTCTAGGAGTTCAAATAAAGTTTCATTTTAAAAGCAAAAGACATTAAACTCATCACCTTGGTTTATTACTGAATGCTTTTGAACTCCTCAGAAGGGAACACTATAACTCATGAGAGAAAAATGATTTATGATCCCCTCCTCATAATCTTTTCAATCCTGCAGGAGGCAGGGCAGACAGTAGGATCAGCTAGGGAGGCAGAGTAGGGGTGAGAGGGAGCCCCCCACAGGGAAACAGCCAGCCAGGGCACCAGGCCAGGCCCTGCATCACACCAAGCGTGGAACAAATCTCTTGGCTTTCTGGGCCTCTCTTTTTCGCTTCATGTTAAGATGCTGTTATGGCCTCCTTACTCTTCCAATATTTTCAGCTTCTGTGTCATTTAAAATCTTCCCTTGAGATTCTAGTTTGGGGAGATTCTCTTTGCAGCATTGAAAGGCAGACTGGGTTACCTGTGACAGTTTAAGTGCTAAGAAATTAGAATAAAATTGACATTTCTGAGGAGCTTGCTAACTGAAAGTAAGAGTCTTAAACATCCCCAAAGTGCAGGAATTTATGTTTGTCCTGGGCATTTTAACCCTTCAATTCAAACAGTGTTTATTAAGCATCTTATGGGACAGGAAAGAAGTTTGAAGGTTGGCTTTACTAGCTTCAGTTCCTATGACCCGTCCACGTCATGGAGGGTCTCATGGCAGGAACACACAGGATGTGCTGGAGTTTCTAACAAAGCCCGCCTGGCCCAGATTCCATAAATGGAGGCAGAATAAACGTCTTCTCCCCCTCATTGCATGTTGGAGTGGAGCCTTAGGGAGGTTTTGAAAGGCGGGTCAACAGGCGTGGACTGGCTCATTCTGGTGCTTAGGAGGACAGTGTGAGGAAATGCATGAAAAGACAAGAAAGGCAGGGGATTTCAGGTCACTGAGACCCAGCTCTGGCAGAGTGACCTCTGAAAGATCCCATCAGTTGGGGTGCCCTTGTGCTCCTCCTTGGGGCTGGTGCTGCCCTTGTCATCATGTCAGGAGTCCCGCAAGATGTTTGTGGAGAACTTACCACAGAGCCTGGCTTGTGGTAAACGCCTGACGGGAACGTAAAAGCAGCCGTCATGTGTTGGGTGCTCGCTGAGCACTAGAAGCTTTCCAGGCAGCATCTGTCATTGTCAGACTGACTCTGGGATCGTGTCCAGATTCCCATTTTACAACGAGGAAATCGAGTCCCAGAGACATTCTCTACGTAACCTAAGATCAAACAGCTGCCAGGTAGCCGACCTGAGATCTGAGATAAAGACGGTTCTACTGCCTCATCCGTATTAGTTTCTTCCCCTTGCCCCCTTTTGTCTTCACCAGTTTGTGGATAAAAATCGGGTGCTTTTTAGTAGCCCACTGGCTTGGTTGGGACTGTTGGTTGCACTTAACAGAGACCCAGCTTGAACTGTGTTGAGCCAAAAGGGGATTTGCTCTTGAGGCTCCTGGCTGGCATCAGGGAACCCATGAGAGGTGCTGCTGCTGTTCTAGAACAGCCGACTCTGGGGCTTAGTGCCAGTGGCCCCTCCCCGAGTCTTCTGTATATCTGCTTTTATTTCCTCTCTCTCTCTCTCTCTCCACCTGCTTGGTAGGAGACATAGCCCCCCACTATATCTGGGCCTGACACTCTCTTGGTTTCGAGCCTGAAGGATTCCAGTAAAGGGATTTGTTGGCCCCTCTTGGATCCGGTGGTCACTTTTAGTCTGGTCAGCTGTGATCTAGGGCTGGGAATGCACAGAACTTAGCTTCCTGCCCAGCCATGTGTGGGGAGTGGGAGGTAGAAGTGCTCTCCAGAAGAAAGCTGGTGGGGGGCAATGCTGGGCTACCCAGTTGTAGTTACCAAGTCATATATGGGATCGTTAGCTGGTAGGTGATGTCCTCAGTTTATCCTGAGTCATTCCAAGGGGCCCCGATGGGAGGGGACTTCTCTGGCGCATGTGTACTATGAAGAGTTCGTTCCTCTCCTTGCCCTGAGCCGAGGCCCGATCCCTGGTCCAGACACTAATTGTGAGGAGAGGTGAATCTATGGGGCTGGAGGGGTCAGGTGAGTTTTACAGAGAGGGACTGTCTGAGTCTGGGAGAGATGGGGGAATAAGCTCCAGGAACAGGGCAGAAAGAAAGGAAGCAAGAAATTCTTCAAGAGACATTGAAAGTTGCTGGGGAAGGAAGAGGCTTTCAGGTTAAGGAGTGTAGTCTTCATTCCCTAGGCTGGTTGGAGAGGGAAGGATCAGGTTACTCTTCGCTGTTGGGTGTTTCTGGGAAGTGAGTGGTGCCCAGACGTCGCTTCTCTTCAGTGGTTTGGTGACATTCAAGCCAGTGGCATTGCTGAGGACACCTCGTGTTTGCCTTCATATTTCCCCAGTCTGTTCATCTGCTCTTTTTCTGTTTTCACATTTAGGCAAATGTGACATGTAGAGGCAGTGTGGCCGATGGTGTGTGTCAGGATGGAAAACTGCTCTGGTCTATAATCCCGGCTCTCCCAGTAGGCAGCAGGACACCCAGAAGGAGAGGTTGGCAAAGGACTGAACCCTGACGTTCGCTCCGCCAACCCACATCCAGCCCCCAGAGTGTCTTGGTAACTGCTTCGCAAAGAATGAATAAAGACCCTAGAAGCCAAAATGACTGGAAAGTTAGAAAACAGAGTCAAAGGAACTTAATTTTCTCAGGGTGGTTGGGAGGAGAAGGAGCCTATAATGGTTAAGACTTGGGTTTAGACATCAGACTAAGTTGAATTGAAGCCCCAGTTCCAACCATTTAACCCT